GGTGATGTTTAATGAGGAATCCTTTTAAAATTAACTGTTCCAGGATTCTCTAAACACCTACAAAGTAAAAAGATAAAATTACCATTATAGTATCATTTTTGACAATCAATAAGATTCATTAAAAGCACAAAATACAAGAAAGGTAATTCCGCCAACACCATGCAGTGATTCCTCATTAAAGGAGACAGTGAGATATTTCAACAAAGACATTAATAGAAATAACCTATGGATTCTTACCCTACCTCCTTGGTGATTTACATTATGCCATGTAGTTGAAACAACAAGCAGAAATGCAGAAGGTCTTATATGATTAATGCTAAAATACCAAACCTCTTGTTACTGTTGATCATACATTCACAACAACACACTTGGGAACATGGCTATAGAAGCACTTTCTACTCTTTTCTTTTTTGTATCTTATATCCTTTCCATGTGAGTAATTACAGTGATTAAAATTTATTTTTTGTGCTGTTCTTTCTCAGAATATACAATCTTATTTTTTTTTTAAGGAAAACTTGCTCCATGTGAAAATTGTGTATTTCATCTTTTTGTTCTAACAGTGAGATTTCCTGGCCCATCATAAAACAGTAAGGTTTATGTGATGTTTGTTGCACAGACTCTTCAAAGACCCTTCTGGGCTGGAAAGAAACCTTAAGGATTACATACCTCAACTCCCTCACTTTACAGACGAGAACACTGAGTTTGAATTGTCGCATTTGACTCTGCCTTTGACCACATCTCGTAGGGCAAATTTTTTTTTTTTTTTTAAGAGAAGGAAGCATTACAGAGGTAACAAAAACATTGTGAAGGAAATGGAAGGATGGATAATAGAGAAAGATGAACATCTTCCTATGGATAAATGGATCAGAGGTTATGTCAGGTCAACAAGAAACAAACAAAAAGTAATAATAAGAATATTTCTTCTACATTTTCAGCAGCTTCAAGTTTGGGTCAAGTAGCTGTGACAGTGGGGGTGGGACAATGCTATATCCATGGGAAAAAGAAAGGCAATAAGTTATAAACTGAGCTTGCCTCACTCCATTCTCTCCTGCTCTCCCCTCTGTATTTCCCCACCCCCACATGATATTTCTGCTGGCAGGGAGAAATGGGGACATTATGTCCCATTCCTTAGCTTCAATATTAGTGTATATATAAAAAATACTTCCTTGGGGCCAAAACGTAGGTCCTCCAAGCTATAGACAAACTACCGATTGCTGTGGATTTGTAACATGTTAAATATACTGATTCAGGAGCATATTTACATATAGCTGCACATCGGGTCTTCTTGGATAACTGGTCCCGGAGTATCTACCAGTTGATGTCAGTGCTCAGAAATCCATGCTGTTTTATCCAAGCTCAAAGATTTGATCACCTTTACGATATCTCTGCTACAACCCTCACATATCCTTCCTTCTTCTGTTCTATCACCAAGATCTTATGTTAACTGAGTTTAAGAAGTAGAGGGATGAAATTGCAGAAGTAATAGCACCCTACATTTTTGGTGATCTTAATGCATTTCAAAGAACTGTTAAATATAACCCCTCATTTTATCCTCACAGTAATCCTTTGAGGGTCCCCCATTTCACATGGGGAAAAAAATTGGATTCACATAGCTAATAAATAGCAGAATTTGGAAGAGGAGGACAGAATCATAGAACTGAAAGACATCTATTCAGTTTCCTCAATTTGAAAATAAAATAATTGAGGTATAGAGAGGTTAAAAAGGTTACCCAAGGTAGTATTATTCAAGTCTGGGGCTAGGACAAGATCTCTATCAGCTGATTCCCAGCCTGAAGCTTTTGTCACTATACTACTCCCTTCTCACAAATCCATACAGATTCATTACAGCAGATGATAATATCCGTTAACTGATATCAGGCAGCACATTGTAGTGTGCTCCTCCTCCATCAAACCTAAATATTCTGACTCCAGATCACTTGAGAAATAACATAAAGTGATTCTTCAGGGTGAAAGTTTAGTGGTCAAACTGACCTAGCCCTATTAAAGTTAAGTGATAGAAAAAAGCTTCACCTATTCTTAGTGCTCCTTCTCCTTCTCAGTGCTCATTAACTTCCATTTTGTTCTTTCCTTTTATTATCTTTTTTCTTTGTCTATTAACACTCACTGAGCATCCTTTCCCCACCAGAGAAGCACCCTTCTCCAAGCTCCATGAGCTGTCTTTCTCCTCCTCAATTCTGTAATGCTGCTTATCTGTAGTTTCTGATACCCTGTTACCATAAAAATAAAGAATCCTTTATGAGGGACTGCCCCATTCATGAACTTCTAAAAAAAGACCTAAAGAGGGTCGCACATTTCTCCAAGGGACTTTTATGGGTCAAGAAGGTGGTAGACCATCATACAACCTAGACGAGGTCTTCTTCTCAGCATCCAGTTTGAATATTTAACACATACAATTTATAGCAAGAGAGTAAATCTGATTCTCCTACAGCAGAGAAGCTCCTAAAGCTCACCTTTCAACTTGCTTTTTATTCTGGAAGCTACAAACTAGTGCTTCTTTAATACTGGGGGAGAATCTCTGAGAAGCTCATCTGTCTCCTACCTTTTTTTTTTCTACAATATTCTTCATTCTTTTTTGTCTCTTTGCTCTCAGTTGCTGTCTTCCACATCACCTGAACTTTTTCTGTACACTCTTCTATCTGCATCATAATAAGAGCATAAACTAAAAGAAACACAGAATTTTCCAAATGTTCTCTGACTTGTTTTCCTTCAGGGACCACATGAATTACAACTTCCTTAAAAATCTTTTCTGCAGAAACTCAGACCTCAGTTTGTTTGTTTTTTCCATTTTCTCAGCAGCCACACTATTTATGCATTTATGTTGTGGATCACTCATTTGGCATCTCTCAAATATGGCCTCATATTGTTATCTATCTTTTGATTTTTCTGTCCTGTTTCCCCAACAAGATGATGAATTTCTCCCCAGAAGGCAGAAACATATGTCCCCAGCATCTATCAAGGTATCCTAACAGAGGCTATTATGATCACAATAAATGTTTGATAATGATGCTCACCTTTGTATTTGATTAAGTTTCTCTGGCTAGAGCTCCCTTATTTTGTTTTATGATTGATTCTGAGTGTGAATCTGTTTTAGTTTTGAAGCCCTAGGAGGGCACGAGTGGTTTGAACCTAACAGTACCAGATGTTATGTTTTATTATATCTGGAAACAACGTTCCCAATGTTTCAAGGTACTGTCTCCTTTGGATGTACAAAATGAGTCAGTCAGGCAAGAGCTTCTGTTACAAATATAAACCCTAAATAGTTGAACCCAAAGGAGCCCTGGTGGTGCAGTGATTAAGCGCTTGGCTGCTAACAGAAAGGTTGGAGGTTTAAACCCACCAGCGGCTCCATAGGAGAGTGAGGCAGTCTGCTTCTGTAAAGATTACAGCCCTGGAAAACCTATGGGGCAGTTCTACTCTGTCCTGTAGGGTCGCTATGAGTTGGAATCAACTTGGTAGCCACAGGTGTTTTATAGTTGAACCATTTCAGTACTGGCAGAGTTATACTTTCCCTTCATATAGTTTACATAAATTCTCTTCATACGTAAATTGCACTATCCCACGAAAGTAAAGACATGATCATGGCTTTGATGATAATAATAGTAACAATGAGTGAGTCCCTGTATGTACCAGGCACTGTGCTTAACATCTAATAATGTCATGTAATGCTAACAACCTTAATAAGTACTATTATTTTCTGCATTTAAAGAAGCTGGAGAATTTAATCAACTAGCCCAAGATCACATAGCTAGTCAGTTGTGGTGCCAAGATTAAAACCCTCCAATGTTACATATAATAGGAACTTGAAAATGTGTAACAATGATGACAAAATACTAAACTCCTCACACGTGTTTGTTTCATATTTTTATATAGCTATTATTATGGCATAGTGTACATATTGCAAAATATATTTTTACCATTCTTGGTTTTATATGTTTGCCCAAGATCCTATGTCTCTCCTATCACAAGATTTCTGTAATCGTGTGAAGCAGTAGCTTAATAATGTTCAATACTGTTATTTTCAAATACAAAAGAAAACAATTTTGGCATAATACATATAATAATTATAACTAAAGCTTTTAGAACCCATTACATATATCCCTTAATTTGTTACAACAAACCTACGAGGTGGGTATTGCAATATTATTATACTAGGTACTATAAAATTTGAAGTGAATTATGATTATAATAAAAATTATAATGGAGTCTAGTATCACTTAAAAATAATTTTTCCACATTTTCCAATTTGCTTATATAAGAATAGCACTAGATAATATATCACTAAGTAATGTCTTATTTATACAAGATTTTAAATACCACAAACAAATTGTATTAGTTACAATCTCTCCAATGTCTTCTAAAGCAGTTCATTAGATTTGGTTATATGTCTGATAAATGCATTTTGTTCAATGAGAATCTCATGCAATTATTTTTAAAGTCTTGCAATGAATGCTCAAGGATTATTGATTGGAATCACATAGTTTAATCAACAGGTCACCTACAAAAAGCAATGTGAATTCAATTGATATACTGCTGTGCTTGCATTGCAAAATGATTTATTTCTTGCCCAGACATAATTATAAAACTGTAAGAGATGTTCAGTCATACATTGGACTTTTCTGAGAATTTCATTAAAACTTTGCTTTTTCAATATTAATTGAAATGTTGCAGAGAATAACCTACATGGAACTGAATTTGAGTGTAGCCATGGTGCCTTTAAAACAAGGAGACGAAATCTTGTTAGTATATATACCATAAATTCCTGGCTCTGAGGACCTACAGTTACATGTTCATATGCCTAGAATCCATTTAGTAAATTCCCTTTGCCAATTTACTTAATGGCAGGAGAGCAGTCTCAAAAAATTAACTGTTAACAGTCTAAAACATTAACAATTTATACTATTATCTCCATTTTATTGGAGAAAACCGTATTGCAATTTTATGGCTGTTTGATTAATGCTGTATTTCTTTTTTTAATGCAGGTAAATGGTTTAATTATGGAATCATCTTTCTTGTCTTGATTTTGGATCTGAATATGTGGAAGAACCAGATATTTTATAAACCTCATGAATATGGGCAGTATATCGGCCCAGGGCAGAAGATTTATACGGTGAAAGACTCAGAAAGTTTAAAGGATTTGAACAGAACCAAGCTATCCTGGGAATGGAGGTCCAATCACACTAACCCTCAGACTAATAAAACATATGCTGAGGGAGACATGTTCTTACACAGCAGGTACATAGGGGCTAGCCTGGATGTCAAGTGTCTGGCCTTTGTTCCAAGTTTGATTGCTTTTGTGTGGTTTGGATTCTTCATCTGGTTCTTTGGACGATTTTTGAAAAATGAGCAAGGCATGGAGAACCAAGACAAAACTTACACTCGAATGAAAAGAAAATCCCCATCAGAACATAGCAAAGACATGGGAATGACTAGAGAAAACACCCAAGTCTCAGTGGAGGACCCATTGAATGACCCTCCTTTGGTTTGCATCAGGTCCGACTTCAACGAGATCATCTACAAGTCTTCCCACCTAACATCAGAAAACTTGAGCTCACACTTGAATGAATCTACCAGCGCAACAGAGGCTGATCCAGACCCAACTACTTCTAAAAGTACACCTACGAACTAGATTCACTTACTTGGTGATAGCACAAAAAACAACCTTGAGTGTAACTTTAAAAGGTTAGTCTTTCCTTTTGTAAACGTAAGGTTTACGTAGTATTAGGTAAAGAAATTTAAACAATGCCACAACGGTGCTCAACATGCTTTTTCTAGGACTCATTGTTTTCTATTTGTATTATAATATACGTGCCTACTGTGTAACAGTCCTCTAGAGATTGCTTTTCACAATTGCATAAGCTATTTACTGACTTTACAGCATAGTAGAAGATTAGATGATTACCTGTGTATCTGATGTTCAACCATAGTGGTGCCTTGAGACATTAAACTGTTTTTATTTGTACCAGAAATGAAGTGTGGAATAGTTCTCTAACTTACTTCACATGGATTTTTTTTGTGTGTGTGTACAATTACTTTGATCTACACTTGATGTCTGAGTAGGAAATAGGTATAGCCAAGATGTGACTCAGGAAGAATCTCTTAGTTTCTTATTCAGCCGTGGAGTTGATGACTTTGACAGCTGGACTGCAGAGAAGTATGGTGATTACCTTGTAATTTTTATTGGCTATCTGCCAAATGCAAATACAGATGCAAAATGCAGTAATAGGAGAACAGTAATCCAGCATGGGTCACTACTGGTGAAATGTGACTTTCTCCAACCAGTAATTGCAATTAGGTGATAATACCTAATTATGTTTTCCTAATTAAAGATAAATTGCTACTTGATTAAAAATCCTGCCCTTCACCTTTGGGAACAAAGGTTAAGAGGCCCAGTTGTGTGAACTCTCAAATTTATTGGCATTTGCACAAAGCCCTACAAAGAACAAGGAACTGGAGCTTTCATTATTTGAACGTTGCACAGCCCACCATCTATAATATTTGTACATCTTTCTTTAAATATGGTTCTGGACAGTGAAAATGAGAAACATATACCAACCCTGAGCAAGTGAACTCTAAAAATCATGCAATGGAATCTTGTGAGGTAAAAAAAGACGTGCATGGAAGAATCTGTTTAGTGGCTTGTTGTGAGTGTACGTTTTGTTGTTTTTTTGATTTTTTAAGAATGAAACATCACACATTAATAAATAAGAATTATCCATTAGTGATTATGTGATGCAGTTTTTTGTTCATAGTAGAGGGAATCAATCAGTCATATCTTAGTTTAAGAACAGTCCATTTAAATGAGTTTTTTAAGCTTGATGCCATGTAAGTTAAGAAATAGAACAGTCCCAAATTACTTAATTTTGGTCTATAAATTGTGATTAGATGTACCTTGGGGAGCAGGGAGGAAGGGAGAATCACTTTTAAGGCAAAATTATTTTCCTGTCACATACTGACATATCTGTATTTTGCCTTTATGATTTTTTTAAAATCTCTCGTTTTGATCTATTTGCTTTTAAGCTTGTAGCATGCTGAATTTAGCATGCGTAATAGAACTATGCATTTATCTGTCACTTGAGAGCTGGCTTTAATAAACATCTTGCTACAATTTTACTAAGTAGTTGGAACCATGCCCCTGCTGTTTTTTTTTTTTTTTAACATTTAATAGCCATGCATGGTCCTACTTAGAATCATAAATATCTCTGACACTGAAAACGCAGAGATCAAACTTGCTATGGTATTCCACTGACCATACTGTCTAACAAACACTTTCACTTGCCATGTTATCCCTGACATATTGTGACATTGGCCACTACCAATCTGCATAGCAAATAATACCACCCAGGACCATATGTGTATTTATTTTGAATGATGAAGTTGATTCAGAAAGTAGGTGCTTATTATCAGTGTATCGTCTATATGAAAATATTATTTGAAAATCTTTATGTGAATATCCAGGAAAAAGTGTTTCAGTGAAAGAATCTAATTAGCAGAAATAGTAAAATTAAAAAAAAAACCAAAAAAAAAAAAACCTTGGAGCACCTTGCTTATGTGTTTCTAGGGATTAGCTAGAGAAGCTGATACGAAATATATCTTCAAAGTTTCCATAAAGTTCAGTAACAAAAGGAATAATCTCCAAAGATGGTGTTTTCATAGTTAAACAAGATTTGAATTGTGTAAGGTCTCGATATTCAATTGTAGAGCTACGGCTGCTAACCAAAAGGTCGGCAGTTCGAATCCACCAGGCGATCCTTGGAAACTCTATGGGGCAGTTCTACTCTGTCATTTAGGGTCATTATGAGTTGGAATCAACTCGACGGCAATGGGTTTTTTTGTTTTGTTTTGTTTTAATATACCGGTCTTGACCTTTTCATCTAGACGTGGGTTACCTTCCTTCTTTTGCTACTTCTTTTGAATATTGCACTTCCTAATTGCACTTACACCAATTAAAATTTAGAAAACAAAAGAAAATCAAGGTTAAAATCAAATCCGTTCATGATTAGTCTTGAATCTTGAGTATTATATCAATACACTATGGTGCTATAGAACTTTTTGAATACCAAACCATCTGGACTACTACAGGCATTAAAAAAGAAGTAGCAAAATCAGAAAATGAGAAGTTAAAAAAAAAAAAGGATTAAAAAATCACTAACCACAGATTTCAAAGAAATCTTAGCAAATGTGATGTCTTAATTATAGTAATTATAGTATAGTATTTTCTTCCATGCAGTACAGAATTTACACTAATTTGACACAACTTCAGTATCCTACATTTACAGAGTATTTCATTAATAGCTTAAATGGAAAATTAAGTGAACACTATGAATTTATAATCTACACTTAGACATAAATCTCATGACTGCATTCCCCATTTGCATTATATAACGCTAGTTAGTTACCTCATCTTCTCCCCATGGTGACTACTTATCATTTTTCCTTATCTTTTGGCACATCTAAAATCATCATCAAATCCTATTAGAAACATTAGGAATTATTTCTTCTCCATTTTCGCTAACAGCCAAACAAGTACAAAATCTCCTTTTACTTTACTTTTATTTTATAGCATTAGATTTCTCAACAGTCCAAAAGCACTACTGGCTGACGGTGCACAGGAAGAAGTCATCCAAAACAGACACTCAGATTTAAAAATGAGAGTCAATACTACCATTGTCTCTTACCACTGCACTCTGTAAGTAATTCTGTCACATTATTTGGCTGTCTTGTGGGTCACTGACACATCAAATATGAACCATGAGAAAGACTATGCTAATATAGCATTTAGCTGTCCCTATAAGGATGGATCCTGATGCCAACTGTATTATCTGACATTTGGCCAAGACCTCAGCAACCCACCAGCTTATCAGCTATCTAACCCCACTCTGAACTGATCCCTATTAAAGGTTGGACTTCTGGTTATGCAATCCCAACCTGAGTGTTGCACTTTTCTCTTCAGACTGTGACTTGGCTCACTTCTCTATCTCGCAATGATTTCCTCTAGCTTTGTCCCTCAGACCCCAAATCTAACCTGTTAGCAAGCCCTACCTTCGAGAAGAGCAACTCAATTGGTTTTGCAGCAGATAAATTTGCACTTTTCTTATTTATCCCCTGTTTTGACTTTTAAACATGTTTGGGTGCATAGAGTTTTGCTTAAAAGTGCATGAAAAGCTGAATGGGAACTAATATAGATAAGAGAATCAAGCTCAGAAATGTTTGACTTAATATCATTTAGACCTGCGGTAATTGCCCTCCCAACTTAAGCTCATTTTATGACAGATCTAGTATAGTCAGATTAGAACTGTATTATAATTTGAACAAGTAGAAAAGCTTAGATATGGTATTTGTAAGTCACAAGTCACTCTTGTAGAAGATAAAAAAGAGACGGATATTTATAATGAAAAGAGAAGCTTAAGCACAGGGTAAAAAACCAGTAGAGGTTGCTGAAATGAAGTATTGGAAAGAATAATGAAAGTTTTAAGGTGAACGAGTTTTAAAAATATGGTGAGGGGGGCGGTGGGGAGCAGGCCTCTATAAGAGGAAGTTAATATAAAGTTATCATGAGTCCAATATTCCTGCGTGTTAGGAAGGAGACTTAAAAAGATGTGTTCAACAGAGCTGAGGGAATGACCCAAGAAGTTTGTTGTTTGTTTCTTAAACATTCTGTCGTTTAAGTTACTCTGTGTCTGCCCCAGAGAGCATGGTGAGACCTGGGAGAAGAGACATGGGAACAATGAAACAAACTACAGAGTTAGGGGTGGGAGAGGAAAAAGACAAAGTCAACACTTAATAATTCAAAGCAACTGGAAAATACTTGATGGAAAAACAAACTTAAGATAAGTCTGTTTGTAAGCATATTATCAGCATATAAAAGCTGACATCTTGTAAACTGAAACATCTTACAGACACTTTATGAGAGAGATTCTGAAAATTTAGAAAAAAAATAGTTAAACAACATTATTACTAATTTAGTATGTTTTAAAATAGCACTAACATTGTTTTACTTTGGTGAGATGTATCAGTTAGTTTATTTCAGTGAATATAAAATACAAATAATGTATTTCACAGGCTTATCTCTTACCTCTGTCCTCCAACGCGATATTTTATAAGGTCTTAACTTCCTTTAAAAACAGTTGTCATCAAGTCAGTTTTGACTTATAGGAACCCCAGGTGTGTTAGAATAGAATTGTGCTCCATAGGTTTTTCAAGGGCCGATTTTTTGGAAGTAGGTAACCAGGCTTTCTTCCAAGGTAACTCTGCGTGGTCTCAAACCTTCTCCCTTCCAGTGAGCAGCTTAGCCTGTTAACTCTTTGCCCCACACAGGGATTCTCTTAAGTTCCTTAACAGTGACTAATATGTACTACTGGGGTTCATAAAAACTTGCCTTCATGATTGAGAAGACCACAAAAATTTATAACTGAGAACTATAGTAACGAAACTAATTTACAGATGCTTCTCGCCCTAATCCACCACTCCTCTGTCAGTTTGTCATATTGTGGGGGCTTTCGTGTTGCTGTGATGCTGGAAGCTATGCCACTGGTATTCAAATTCCAGCAGGGTCACCCATGGTGGACAGGTTTCAGCTGAGCTTACAGACTAAAACAGACTAGGAAGAAAGACTTGGCGGTCTACTTCTGAAAAAAATTAGCCAGTGAAAACCTTATGAATAGCGGCAGAATACTGTCTGATATAGTGCCAGAAGATGAGCCCCTCAGGTTGGAAGGCATTCAAAATATGACTGGGGAAGAGCTACCTTCTCCAAGTAGAGTTGAACTTAATGACATGGATGGAGTCAAGCTTTTGGGACCTTCATTTACTGATGTGGCATGACTCAAAATGAGAATAAAGAGCTGCAAACATCCGTTAATAATTGGAACGTAGATTGTATGAATGTACAAAGTGTGTACCTAGGAAAATTGGAAATCATCAGAAATGAAATGGAACGCATAAACATCGATATCCTAGGCATTAGTGAGCTGAAATTGACTGATACTGGCCATTTTGAATCGGGCAGTTATATGCTCTACTATGCAGGGAATGACAGATTGAAGAGCAATGGCATTGCATTCATCATCAAAAAGAACATTTCAAGATCTATCCTGAAGTACAACGCTGTTAGTGATAGGGTAATATCTGTATATCTACAAGGAAGACTAGTTAATACGACTATTATTTAAGTTTACACACCAACCACTAAAGCCGAAGATGAAGAAATTGAAGATTTTTACCAACTTCTACAGGCTGAAATTGATCGAACATGCAATCAGGATGCATTGATAATTACTGGTGATTAGAATGTGAAAGCTGGAAACAAAGAAGTACACCAAATCTGGTGCAAAAGACCTCTTTAAGGTGTTAAAAAAAAAAAAACAAAAAAACAAATATGTCACTTGAAGGACTAAGGTATGCCTGACCCAAGCCATGGTGTTTTCAATTGCCTCACAGCACGTGAAAGCTGGGCAGTGAATAAGGAAGACACAAGAGGAATTGACGCCTTTGAATTACGATGTTGGCGAAGAATATTAAATATACCATGGACTGCCAAAAGAACGAACATCTGTCTCGGAAGAAGTACAGCCAGAATGCTCCTTAGAAGCAAGGATAGAGAGACTTCCTCTCACATACTTTGGACATGTTATCAGGAGGGACCACTCCCTGGAGAAGGACATCGTGTTTGGTAAAGTAGAGGGTCAGCAAAAAAGAGGAAGACCATCAATAAGATGATTGACACAGTGGCTGCAAGAACAGGCTCAAGCATAGCAATGCTTGTGAGGATGGCGCAGGACTGGGCAGTGTTTCGTTCTGTAGTACATAGGGTCACTATGAGTTGGAACCAACTGGATGGGACCTAACAACAACAACAACTCACCCTAATAAATTTTCACTCCATTCAGATAC